TTTGCTTCTAACCTACAAGATTAGTTAATGCCACGATTTGCTTCTAACCTACAAGATTAGTTAATGCTATGATGACATGCTCCTAATCTATCTGATCAAGGTTTAGTAAAAGGGTCAAATTTCCTCTCACATTTTACGTTTGGCTCATGCAACACATAAAATACCTATTTCAATTTAAGACAGCATGTTTCCACCAATAATAATGATCACTGGGGTAGCCTTCAGATCTCTGTCCAGTATTATAATGTCAAGACATTATTTTATTATGACATTGTTTTCAGGCATTATTTAAACCAATTACAGGATGACATGTAAGTCTTACATCACCATGCCATTCCCATACCCTGACACACAAGTCTTACACATTCCCACTCTGCGACACACAAGTCTTGCACATTCCCATTCTGCGACACACAAGTCTTGCACATTCCCATACTGCGACACACAAGTCTTACGCATTCCCATACTGCAACACACAAGTCTTACTCATTCCCCTACCGTGACACACAAGTCTTACTCATTCCCCTACCGCGACACACAAGTCTTACTCATTCCCCTACCGCGACACACAAGTCTTACGCATTCCCATACTGCGACACACAAGTCTTACGCATTCCCATACTGCGACACACAAGTCTTGCACATTCCCATACTGCACACACAAGTCTTACACATTCCCATACTGTGACACACAAGTCTTACACATTCCCATACTGTGACACACAAGTCTTACACATTCCCATACTGTGACACACAAGTCTTACACATTCCCATACTGTGACACACAAGTCTTACACATTCCCATACTGTGACACACAAGTCTTCACATTCCCATACTGTGACACACAAGTCTTCACATTCCCATACTGTGACACACAAGTCTTACACGTTCCCATACTGTGACACACAAGTCTTACACGTTCCCATACTGTGACACACAAGTCTTACACGTTCCCATACTGTGACACACAAGTCTTACACATTCCCATACTGTGATTTTTCTAAGTTGTGTCTGTGTTTCACTAACTTTCTCTTATTACTTTGTTACAGTAAGTGGTCCACATGTCAATCTGTTTGTGCACGGAAGTGACCTTGTTGTGACACAGTTTCGCCCAAGCAGTGGTGCACGTTTCGAACAGCCATAACAACAGGGCTTAGAGAAATGTCACTTTCACTTATTCCTGTATTTTAATTTCAATATTTTTCTTTAGCTCGTACATATGACACACAACTATGGGATCACTGCGAAGGAGCTACGTGATATTTCTATATTCTGCATAACAAACAGATGGTGATCGTAGTATCGCGAGGGCAGGCAAATATTGTTCATCCTTCACGTAAAGAAACAACATTCAAATTTGTGCAAAAGAAAATTACAAGTTTACGAATGAACTTTACGTTATCCACATAAATTTATTGCTTTTTTCTTTCTGTACGACTTCACTAGTTACGGCTCAAATATAGATTTTAACATAAATTGAAATGAAAACCTAATATATACTCACTTTGAGCTTCTTCCAAAATTTCAAGTCTTTCTGATAATGATGACTTTTCTTTAGCAAGACCATCTCTTTCAGTCATGGCTTGTTTCAACTGAAATATTTTAACGGTTAATTTTCTTACGTTTGTTTTCAGACATCAGTAACTAAAAGTTAAATTAAGTAAAAGCACTTCTCTCAAAATCAGAAACGTCATTATTACAAGGATATATCTAACATCTAGCTAAACTACAACTCTCCATGCATCATTATTACACACACACACACGCACACACATATATATATAAATATGTGTGTGTGTGTAACATTCAGTTAAACTGACACTGTTATTTTTACCAGGATATATCCAATACGTGGCTAAACCAAACCTATGACCTTATTATTAGGATATATCTAAAACCTGGCTAAACCAAAACTATGACTTTATTATTAGGATATACGTAAAAACCTGGCTAAACCAAAACTACAACCTTATTATTAGGATATATGTAAAAACCTGGCTAAACCAAAACTACGACCTTATTATTAGGATATATGTAAAAACCTGGCTAAACCAAAACTGTGATATTATTACTGGGATACATCTAATACCTTGCTAAACTAAAACTGTGATATTATTACTGGGATACATCTAATACCTTGCTAAACTAAAACTGTGATATTACTAGGATATATCTAAAACCTGGCAAAACTAAAACTGTGATATTATTACTAGGATATATCTAAAACCTGACTAAACCAAAACTGTGATATTATTAGGATACATCTAATACCTGGCTAAACTAAAACTATGATATTATTAGGATACATCTAATACCTGGCTAAACTAAAACTGTGATATTATTAGGATACATCTAATACCTGGCTAAACTGATTTCATGTATCATTATTATTAAAGTATATTTAACAACAAACCAAAAATAAATCTTATTCTTATTCAACATTAAATTAGCAGGTCAATCAATTTGTGGACATAAAGTACGGTTACCATTATAGCATGGTCAAATTACCAGGTATTCCAGCTCAAAAACCAAAAACGTTTTAAATATCTAAGTTTTTAAACATACTAACACCATTTTGTGGGGAAAAAAAATTATCCCCTTATATACACTACAGGTATTTCAGGAAATATGCTTACACACGATACTAGTTAATTTACTCAGTATTTTTAACCTCTCAGAAAAGTGCAAGATATATCTCGGATACTAACACCTGGATTAAGATCGGACTTCAATTTTTAGTTGTATCAAGTTTTTCAAAGTTTCTTACATTACCTCATCTCTGACAGACGTGAGTTCTTGACTCAGCTTTTGAGTGTAGTCTTGGTAATGTTGTGACATCTGATCTTTGTCTTTTGTAAGTCTTTCAAATGATTCTTTATACTGAGAAAGAAAAAAAATGCAATTTGCACAAAGAAAAATAATTTGCCAAAATATATGTGTGTATAAAAAATCCAAATACCCTACTAACATTATTTATATAAAGTAATATACATATTAAAGCAGAAAAAAGAAATGATAAGAAAAACTGAATCCTTTAATACTACTCCATGTAAAACTAAAACGATAATCCTTCAGAATGGATTACTGTAGAGTTTTCATCATATCAAAAATGTTAAATAAATGTATCGTTTACTTACATTTCAACATTATGTTGCCTTTATTTAACTACATCACTACATTAAGATTGAATTTAGGCTGTAGCACCCTATGTTATAATTGAATGAGCGATTGTTCGGCAATGAGGTCGTTAAAGACATTTAACTTGTTTAATAAAATAAAGCTATTACATTTACACCTTCTTTGACTGTCCTCCTCTGAGTTATATCTTACACTTTCAAGTGACTATAAACCAAGCTACTTTTTTTTCTAACAACTTGAAATAAAAGCATACCTCTGCCACTTTTTTCTCCAGATTAAGTTTTATGTGATGGAGTTCTTCTAGTTGCTGTGTGTTTTCCGAACAATCACTGCTCGAGATCTGCTGTACGTGAAGTTCAGCCATGGCTAATTTACTTGAGACATCGGCCAATTCCTTCTCTCGGTCTTGACATTCTACCAGCTTAATAGAAAGACACATCAATGAGAAACATTAGTTTAGATTTTAACTAGAAAAAAAAATTCATTCTCCATGAACTTGGGACATCAACAGATTCTTTCTCTCGGTCTTGAACAATCTACTAGTTGAATAGATAGATATATCAGAGAAATATAAGATTATGAAGTCACTAGAAAAATGAGTTAATACTTTATGACCCAAGAATGTTTATTTAGAAACAAGCTGTTAGCAAAATCTTAATTATATTGAGCATTGTCCTCTTAAAAGTTGAGCAATTTTTCAATAAACAATTTAAATAACATAATATAATCTCAACTTTCTTCAAGTATTTGATAGACAGTTGTTAAAAAAAGTACCCTTCAGAAATTGAAATAATTATGAAATTCTTTTTGTAATGTTTTAAGAAAACTAAGTGCACAGATGAGCAACTGGTTGAGTAGTCACTAATGTCAGTTTCTACAAATTTTGCTTCTCCAACCTCACTAAGGATACTTTGTAAAGTTGACCGAAATCACTTTCACAAAACTAAAAAACGATTAGCACGTCCTGTGTGGGCTTTTGAGTCAAAACGGATTTTGTTTAGTACACAAGTTTTTTGTTTTTAAAATATATAGACACTATATGTATTTATTTACTGTTTTGTATTAACAAAAAAACTAATATTGAACTGTAATAGATTTGCCACAGAACCAATTATCTATACTATTATTCTGCTTGTTTGTATGTACGACCGTTACGCCTTCTGACCAAGAACATGCTGCATAAGCATGTGTAGTTAGAATGTTTCCCCAAGAAAAACTGCGCATTATTCACTCGACGACAAACAGTCTGCCTACGGCAGAGAGCTGCAAAGCTCAGTGATAAAGTCGCTACAATTGCCGTTTGAAACAAGAAGTAACAACAAAAGGGTGAATGTAAATATACTTTACTAACCATTTTGTAGAACAGAATATTAAAAACTTATCAAAGTTTTTAAAAAAGGTTTGACGTTAGGTCGTAGAATAACATTATAAGTTTATTTATCGATAGTATTAAATACAGTAACGTTTAGTCCTAGCTAAACTAAAGTAACAAAAACGTACACAGGTTACAGTGTTAATTTATCTCTATCGAACTTAGGCCTAACGTAAGTTAAAGTTTTATAAAGTACAACATAGGTACAAGTGGATTTACACAATTTGTTGTCTACGATTACAATTTGTTTGTATTGTGCTAGACATGTTATATTTAAAGAAGTACTGTTACGATAAAGATACTAATTTGGCTGGAAATGTTTTGCGGGTCTCTGCTAGTATGAATATTATTCATTTAATCGCAAATGTGAGTAAAGTTTTATTAACACAAAATATTTAGGTACCATGTATATACGTGATACAATGATTTTTTTTTAAATCCAGCTTTTATATGCAAGAGAGAGAGATTAGTGTAAATAAAGTCATGTAATATGAACTAATTAGATCAAATCAATAGGATCAGTGATTCTGTTTGCAGATACCTTACAGGTATTATATTAACAATTGAAGACAAATCTTGTTACTTGACTCTGAAAGAGATGCAGCAGAAAAATAATCCTTTGAGGACTGAACCAAAGGGTTGCACTATCTGTACGAGTGGATCCCTGTTTACAATTCTGACATGGTGCACCTTCATTCTTGATTCTACAGTGTGTTTAAACAACAATGTCATCTAGTAACCACTTCTGGTCAGTTTTCTCCATGTTCGTTGATAAGTAAAACCTTTTCAACTTGATATTAGTTTCATCATACGTGCTGAATTTTAAAACTTTGATCCAATAACTGACCCAGACTTGAGAATGCAAGACAACGTGTTTGACTGTGAACATAAGAACTTGTCTTGTGTACAGCAGAAAATGTCAACTCAATGCCTATTTGTGTAGAAGATAGGGAAAACTTCAGGTATATACAATTCACTACATCTTGTGAGACAACACACTCATGGCCACTTAACACTGGAAGAAAGCAGTGAAGAACACACATAACACTGGAAGAAAGCAGTGAAGAACACACATAACACTGGAAGGAAATAGACCACACTTAAGACTGGAAAAATGTAGTCAAGAGCACAACACTGGATGCAAGCGTCAAGAAAACATTGTTGGCATTAATCCATTGTCAACTATATTAAAAAGTATAATCAATTTGGGTATATAGGAACCATTATTTAAGCTTACTGTCTTATAATCATACATAAAATATTTTGTATTTGTATTACAAAGTGTTCATTATTCACAAAATAATAGTACAAGTAGATCAAAATTTTAAGGCAATGGGTTAATACTGGCATCATCAATGCATGATATCATAGGTGTTTCAAACCAATGTACCCTACTAAAAGATAGTTTTATGTATTTTCTAAAACCTGTAATATTTGAGATTATATCTTTTATCTTCCTACAGGAGTCTCTGGTTTGGAAATCTAAGACAGGTATAAATTTGAAGGTTTCTTCATTTGACGTTTAAGAACTCTTGAAGGTTTACTGTCCCAAGGATGTTGGGGGGTTGTGACCTCAGGTTCTCTGAACAGTGTTTCCAAATTAGCTATGACATCAAAACAAGATTTCAGTGAAGCCACAGTTACAGCAATATCTATAGCATAAGACATTCGTGATGTTAGAAAAACAGTAGGTTCAAGAAGTCATGATAGAAATGAATAAAACCCTCTAACCCGAGCGCTTTGGAAAGGTGGACCTTTTGAAAGCACTTGGGTTAGATGGTTTTTATTCATTTACAGCACAAGACAAATGGACTGTAAGAGGAGAGTAAAGTATAAGTTAACTAGAAATTGACACACACGAAGCTAGCATAAGTTTGAGTGTTCAGTCGTGGAATAAATGATGGTTCAGGTGATGTTCTTCAAGTGCTTGACAAGACATTCATATAACTTGAGCATCTGGCTATTACTTGTAATTCGGGTATATTCATTGGGTATGGCTTGCTTATTTCTTTCTCCATAATATCAGTCAGTTCCTGAAAATAATACTAACACATGGACAAGTGTTGATAATAGTAGTATACCCTCAATAACAACTGTTTCGCTCCGCAAAGTGCCTTTCGTAGCATCTAAAACAGAGAACTGATGTCGGTAGGAAATGCTGTGTATCAGGAGTTCATAAAAACCATACACCTACTCCCACTCCATGCTGCAAATTCAAGTTGCTGATGCTAATATCTTTGACAGTACTTTCAATTAAATCGAGTGAGACACTCTGGATCCTCCAACTTCAGTGTTGTTTGTTTGAAAGCTAAGCCACACTGGCTATCTACTGTGTCCACGGTGGGGAATCCTGGATTTCAGTACTTTAAGTCCATAAACTTACTGCTGCCCCATCGGGGGAGCCCCACTTCAGTGAATTAAGTCCAAAGAATTGATACAGGACATTTTGCATCAGGAAAAATGTTTTAAGTTTGTTTGTTATTGCACTTAATGCATGGCTACATGCCTATCTGTACCAGTAGTTCCTAATTTTGAAGTAACCGACTAGATGGAAGGAAGTTAGTCAACACCACTAACTCTTGAGCTATTCTTTACCAACAAACAGTGGGATTGACTTTCCTATTATAATGTCTTCATAGATGAAAGGGTGAGCAAGTTGGCAATGGATTTCAGTTTTATGACCCGTAGATTGCGAGTCGAGCACCTGTTTTAAGTTAAGTGTACACTTTTTAAATTCAGCTTGAAGTTTAGCCTTCTCACCTTTTTATTAAGTTTCTCTGCCAATTCTGAATTCTGCTGTTTCAACTCTTCATTTGACTTACTAAAAAGAAAAAAAAATTAAAATGTGAAAAACATTATACTAACAAAGCAGCGAGTGCATGATAAAACAAATCTAGAGTTAATAGTATTTTAAGGAAAATTCTGAAACTCGGATCAGGAAGCGACTCTTTTCCCACAAAATGATTGAAATTCAATCTGAAACTATGTTTCAAATATTTGTAACATAAGCAAATAAAAACTTTATGTTTGAAAGCTTTATCAAAATTATCAGCAACACAATAATAAAACTACAAGATGTATCATATGATTCAACTGGAAGTGTTAAAAACTTCAATTACTCTGAAGAGAGTTATTATACCTTTAATATTTGTATTCATAACTATAAGAAACTTATAAACTAAACTACTGTTAAACTAAGATGAGTTAACTTTCCTAAGGAGTTTGGTTTTTGACATTGATGATGTTTCTGTCTCTGTGACTCCCGTGTTACATGTATTTCTGTTGTAATATCACCTAACTGTTGTAATCATTGTGGCTGCAGTGTTTATGGGGTCACCCCGTAGAGTAGAAAAATATTACGTGTGTGTCTATGGTGTTTGCGGTGTGTGGATGTCCAATGATGATGTACCTGTAAAAAATAACATCATCATTGTAGCTGTGGTGTGTTTGTGTGGAAATGTCCGATGGTGGTCTAACTATAGTGGTAAAATATCATTGGTTTAGATGTAGAGTTTGAGGTACGTAGACGTTTGATAGCGGTCTACCTTTAAAGTAGAATAGCATCATTATTGTGGCTGTGGTGTTTGAGGTGTATTGATGTTCAGTTGTACATGAGTATAATATCATCAATGTAGTCATGGTGTTCGAGATGTATGGATATCCAATGGTGGTTTTTCTGAAGAAAAGAATATCATCATCATCATCAGTGTGATACTGACATTTGAGGTGTGTGGATGTCTGAAGGTGGTCATCTGTAGAGAGTGGACATCCATATGTTGCCGACTCCTAGGCACCGATCTTACTTGGCTGATGTATTTATAAAAATTATTCTGATTTCTGATACCACAACAACACAGATGACAACAGCCATTAGAAGATACACAATTCTGCACTACAAACAGAAATACAAAATACACTGTACTACAGGAAACAACCATACATATTACTTTTACTGATTCCTTTAAGTTTGGGCTGTGATCAAGTCCATACAATTCTGCATATGGAACACTTCATAGCTTTGTGACGACGCATGTGACCAGAAAATACTTCATAATGGGCCGAGAGGTATGCGATTGTGGGCACTGATAAAAGTAGCTGCCATTGTGGGTCTCCCGTGGATATCCAGTAATCAGTGCACGGTAACGGACTTTAAAAGGTTAATAAAGGTATTATTAGTACCATAAGTGTCATCTTCAGTAAAGATTGGTTACATAAGCAAGGATTATCATCTTATCTGATTCATTCTTCGGGAAGCAATGTTCAACTAATAATCAGAACTTTGTCAGAATCTTCAAAAGCTGCAGTGACCTCTTTCATTATTTTTTAAACAACTATGAAGTTCACTGGTAACGGACTTTAAAAGGTTAATAAAGGTATTATTAGTACCATAAGTGTCATCTTCAGTAAAGATTGGTTACATAAGCAAGGATTATCATCTTATCTGATTCATTCTTCGGGAAGCAATGTTCAACTAATAATCAGAACTTTGTCAGAATCTTCAAAAGCTGCAGTGACCTCTTTCATTATTTTTTAAACAACTATGAAGTTCACTGGCACGAGAAGTTGTCTTTTATTCTTCTTCTTTTTTTATAGTTCAATTATTAAATGTTTTACTTTCTGAAATATTTTTTTTTTACTCTATCAATACATTCACAACTTGCCCAGGAGTGGCAGCACAAGCTCCGACATTTTCTGTCTTGCAGGCAGTGGAGCAATGATTTTTATTTTTTGCCTGTATTGTACCAGCAACACATAAGCTATAGCGATGTGAAGAAGCCATCAACACAAATAACAATGTTCTAGAACTTAAAAAAACAACAACTTACATTAATCCTCAGGGAATTCCTATTTCAATATAAAAGTAATATACCATTTTGATGATTATAATACCTTATCCTGTTAAGAATAAATTATAAACTTCAACACACAAAAAAATTACATTAAAGTAATGCATTATGGCATTTGAAATTCAAAACCAACAGGTAAGATCATGATTGTATTATCAATGCTCTAGGTAATTAAAATCAGGCATCTTACCTCAATTTATAAAGTTCAAGCTTCAATCTATCAACTTCTTTGGAAGATTCCTTGCTACTCTGTAATAATAGTACTTACTTAGCAAAACACAAGGAAAGGTTGGAATCTGAAAAGCCACTATAAACGAAAGTTGACTTTAAAACACTCGTGTTTGGTGATTTATAATAATGCTTAATAAAACACTAATGTATATAAACACATTACACTATCAATAAATTTCTTGACTTTCAAGGTGTTTGTGTTGTGATAAAATCGTTGTTATATTTAGCAAGAAACAGCCTTAAAGTACTGTCGAATATTATGTTAAGAATAGTTTTAGAATTCCAGAAATTGCTTTTATTTATTGGACCCACCAACTGAATAGTTTTAGTAGTCTAGATATCACTTGGGCCACTAGAACCACTTCCTGAAGAGTTTAGTATTCCATATACTGCTTGGGTTTACTGGGTTACACCACCTACCAGATGGAGGGAAAACACTTTGTCAACACCAACTACCAGGATGGAGGGAAAACACTTTGTCAACACCACCTACCAGATGGAGGGAAAGCACTTTGTCAACACCAACTGAACAGTTTATTAGTCTAGATATCACTTGGGCCACTAGAACCACTACCTGAAGAGTTTAGTATTCCATATACTGCTTAGGTTTACTGGGTTACACCACCTACCAGATGGAGGGAAAACACTTTGTCAACACCAACCTACCAGATGGAGGGAAAGCACTTTGTCAACACCAACTGAACAGTTTAT